AACTTCTCAATTGGCCGACATTTTCACGAAGGCTCTTGGGAAGTATCAGTTTGATCATCTTTTTTCCAAGTTGGGAACTTATGACCATGGTGCTCCAACTTGAGGGGGGTATTGTGGGATACATTTTGTGAAATAATTTGGGTGTTATCTTTTGTTATTGTTTCCTAATTCCTAGTAACCTAATTAAGGTAACTCTAGGGATTCACCTTGTATATATATGTTTTGCCTCGATTAATGAAAGATCAAGTCGTAAGTTTATACAATTCTACAATATGAGTACGAGTATTCGACCACATTACAATGTATATCCTATAAGAATATCTAACTCTAACATTCCTAAATAACTTCCTAATCACAATAGCTCACACATATCTTTTCACAACTTCACAAGTTATTCTCCAAAATATTATTACGAGTACAATATAATATCACAATATTATCTTTATATTTCATCATATCTCTAATACTAGACTCCTAGTATTAAATATACTAACAATAACATTAATGTTGTGACATAAAATCAAACTGGAGGAAATTCACATTACAATGTATATCTCTAATACTAGACTCCTAGTACTCCCTTCGTCCCTCGAAAGAATGATTTATTTGGCCTAATTTTAGTCCAAAAAAGAATGACCCATTTGTTTTTCCCAACATCTATTAAAATCACAAAATTACCAATACATCCTCAAATATTTTTGTCATATAGCTCCTTCTCCCTATTTTACCCTTGTATTTTTTCAGATCTTTGTCATATATCCTCTCTAAATTTCTAAACTTTTTTCTCTCTCCTGCCACCATTAATTTTTCTTGTGTTTTCCCATACATTTGTACTAAGAATTATTGATGACTTGTGTTTTTCCATACATTTGTACTTGCAAATTAAGTTTCTTAATGCCCGCAAAATCAACCCAAATGGGTCGTTCTTTCGGGGACGGAGGGAGTAGTATAGTGGGTTTGAGTGGAGACCATGAAAAGAGAAATATATAATACTATTAAATTGTAGATTTTTGCAAAAAATGAAGTGTAAGTATAACACTTATTAAAACACGGAAGGAGTATCAAATATGGAAAAACATTGGTAGTCTAATTAATCTATGTGAAAGACTCTCTGTCACAAGACAAAAAGCCTGCTCTCATTAACGGAAGTGAGCTGAATTGAATTGAACTGAACTTATTAGAACTGAACTGAACTAAACTGAACTGAACTGAAATGAAATGAATATTTTATAAGAGAAGGAAATTAGGAGCTAAACTGAACTGAACTTATTAGAGTTGAACTGAACTGAAAATAATCGTATGAGAACAGATCCAAAGTCTAGGCAACAAGTTTTTGTTAATGTTATAAAATGTTGTAAATTTCACAGGATTAGATCTTACAATACAATGCTTGATTAACGAACTTGACTATTTGATTACACATATATGGTCTTAGGATCTTTGCAAACTAGCTTCCTGAACTGTAAAAGTTCATGCCAAAGCCAAATATCACAACAGTTCTTCTCGTCGATGAACTTCGTACTCCCTAATCTTTGGCTCTTTATTGTGCAATATTCCTGCACAATCTGAACTACACGTTCACCTATAATTGCCTCCAAATCTTGATACACTTCAAACTTGTTAAGAATAGCACCGTAACAGAAAAAACTGCACAATGCAGTACTCGTATTATCTGTTACACAACAAAAATGTTGTAGTCTCACAATGCCTCTTTTACATCTCAGCTAGGTGTAAGCATATTATGGATATTGGACGGTCACTATAAAATATTTTGTACACACCAATCACAGGAAATTCTCAAACTCTAATTTAATTGATATGGTATAAAAATTATAAAACAAATAATAGTAAAATTATTAATAAATAAACAGATTTTCTTGTGCCATCTACAATTTGTTGATAAAGTACATATACATATCAACAATAGACTAAAGTAATGAACACGCAGAATTATAAGGCAACTTAAACTTGAATATGCATGCTCCACTAAAGGCAACGATATGAGATATCACATAGAAAACTATTGCAATGACAAGATCTGTAGAGCTTTCAATTTTGTATATTAATAAAATTAGAGTTTTTATATATATAGATAAATTGCAGAAACACTTCAACAAAGAAAGAAGAAATGGAACAAGTGGAAATTAGAAACTTCTATATGTTTGGTGCAAATGCTTAAAAAGAAAACCAGCGAATTAGGTGAATACATAAGACAAAATACATAATAATAAGATAAACGGATTCAATCATCTTAACATAGGACTTTGTTAAAAAAAGTATCTTTACATAGAACTCACAAGTTCAATCACGGTGCTAGCAGGCACCTCTACACAAATTCACCCTACTTATGCTTATTCTTATATGTACGAGAGCATATACCAAGTTATCAGTCCGCAAATGTTTGATGCATTTGAGCGAAGCTTGAAGCCACGATCTACCAAATCATTTTCACATATAACTTCGAAAGATTAATCAATTATCTTAACAGCTTTGCAAAGTGCTTGTTGTGTTACATCAAGCCACCTACAAGTTACAAACATCTAAGCTAGATGAAAAAACGAATATAAAATAAATACAGCCGCAATGATGTCTGGAATCATTGGAAAAATGGTCATAGAAGCAGCAGCAAATGCAATATCCATCATCCATTGGATACAATTGTTAATGCAGTTGCCAATGATAGATGTTTTTTATCTTGAAAAAGTTTCAGAAATATTGTTTACTATGACATACTGAATAGATGAACAATAACTGCTAACACATAAGCGAGCATGGAAACCCTATTGCTTTCGATAAAGCAATAAAAATACAGTGTATTCAATTTAGAAGGTTTTTTATTGATGTTATAAGCCGCATAAGCTGAGTATAAAGGTAGAAATGAGGTAATAACAACTAAAATGACCACCGATATATGAATTGATGCTTTTCTTATATGTTTCACATGTTTCTTCATCTAATCCTCCTTTCAAAAACGCTAAATTATTTTTATAATTCTTTTGATCACGTAACACCAACCTTTAGCAATGTATTACAAATGGTTTGCCAAAATGAGAGGGAAAAGGATCTAAAAGATACAAATTTGTCAATTTTTGCAAATTATAAGCACACAAGTTAACTATGCCTTTTATTGAGAAATTAACAAATGAAAGGGTATTTATACCTCAAAATCTCTCTAATTCCATCTCATACATGTGCCCTTTGACTTAGTTTGTGATATTTCTAATATTATAGTTGCAATAAATTAGTTAACAGAAAAATTATATAAAACAAATAATATTAAATAATTTGTGACGTGAAATTATTTATAAATTAACAAATTTCGTAAAAATTATATATATATATATATATATATATATATATATATATTTATTTATTAATATATATATATATATATATATATATGTTCTCCTGAAGACTGAACTAGAGTCAGACGGTGTCACTCCGGAAACTGTAGGTTCTCTTATGAAATCAAAGGGATATGTTCGAAAGCATCTATATCGATGTAGTGTATGCGGAAAGAGTGGTCACAATAACAAGACATGTTCTCTGAAGACTAAGCTACAGTCAGATAGCGCTACATTTGAATATATTGGCTCTCTCAAAAAAATTCAGGGAAACGCCCAAAAGCATAATCATCGATGCAGTGTATGCTTGAAGCGCGGTCACAATAGCAGGACATGCTCTCTAAAGACTAAGCTACAGTCAGATAGTGTCACACTTGAAAATAAAGGCTCTTCAAAAAAGCTAAAGGGAAATCTTCAAAATCATCATCATCATCACTATCGATGCAGTGTATGTGGAAAAAGTTGTCACAATATGAGGACTTGTTCTGAACACTCGATTGGAAAATTCGATGTGACTTCTGGATTTAGCCAACGAGCAAGACGACTATATCACTGCAAGATTTGCGGGGTACTCGGCCATAATCTGAGGACTTGTGCCGAAAAGGGAGTTGCAAACAATGCATATATCGAAGTTGATTCTACATTCTGAAATTTGTAGTTCACTCTCGGCTTTCTGAATTATTCATGGCTTAGTCATTAAGTTGTTGAACGTTTGGAAATGCTATGAGCTCTGCCATATATACTATGCATTCTGTTTTTGTGGTTTATGTTAAAGACTCGGTGATTAGTTTGTAATACAGAATTTTTATAAGGGAAATTAGGATGAAAGCTTGTAGTATTTTTATTCACATTCAAGGCGACGGTTACAATTATAAAATAAATATAGTTAGCTTGAGGTTACAACTTTGAATTCAAATGCTTTATACAAAAGTTCACATAACATTTACTGTTCTATTGCTTTACCAATACAAAAGGTACCCTTGTATTAATTAATTTGTCCAGATCTGCTGCTTAGAAAATCAGTCCCAAACCACCACTCTTCTTAGTGCTCTCTTAATGACTTGTTTTCTTTTGCTACTGTGTTTCTGAGCTCCCCTTAGTTTTTGTTGAATCTTGTTGCTTTGCTTCTACAATGGACTTAAGTTGAATGTTTTGAGGAATTTAATTTTAAAAAAAATGTACGATGTATTTCAAATCATGATACTCCGTATGTAGTAATCATCTTTATTGTATTTCATGATTTGTATTTGACATTTTGACTATATATGAAAATGCACTGTCTTGAATATTTATTTATAATTTGTATTCATTTAGGTACGTATTATGTCATATACAAGACTACAAGACATGTGAGTTGGAAAGATCTATTGACAATGAGGCTATACGTGGTAAGACATTGGATGCAAACGAATGTTTTACACCAAATGGAGGGACAATTTTGCATGTGTTTATAAAGCTTTTAAAATCTGTTGGATAATTTCCGACGATATATCCATAACCATTATAAAAATGCAAAAGTTGCTCCTATTCCTTATGAATAGTATTTTTTGGTGTTATTACATAGCTGCCCTTAATTTTAAGGAACTGCCGAAATTGCCCTTTCTTAGCCAATTGCATTATGTATCACAGCTGTAATTGCCCTTGCTTCTCACCGACTTCCCTCTCTGTTTTCATCTCAGAAGGAAAGGGTCAGAGCATTTCTTAGGTGAAACAAGGAGAGAGAAACCTAGAGAGAGAAAACTTCAGTAACTCAAGACCACCGATGATGGTGCTTCGAATTCTTCGAGTTTGAGGTTGTGGAAGACACTTTTCGGATCGTCATATTCATCAGGTTCAATCTCGATTCTCTTTCTCGATTTAGTTTCAAATTTTTGGGCTTTACTTGTTCGATCGTCGTGGTTTTTTTGCATGTCTGTTCCTATTGATTTCGATATGTTTTCGAATTATTTGGGTTGAATCTTTGTGGGTGTATTTGAGCGAAATCGTTTCGTTTTTAATGGGGTTGAATCCTTTTTTGTGCTATGTTTTTTTTGGTAATTCTTCTTAATTCATAATCTGAATTTCGATTGAAATTTTTTTTGGGTGATTCTTCTTAATTAATATTCTGAATTTCGATTGAAAAATAGAAGGTAATTCTTCTTAATTAATTTTCTGTATTTCGATTGGAAAATCGAACTATTCTTGATGAAGGAGTGGTGATTTCTCCCTTTTGATTTTGACCTGAGAAAGGAAAAAAGAGGAGAAAACTGCTGCTGAAGATACTTTGAATGCTTACAAAGCTGCTCAGGTTTGTGTGTTTTCTTTAATTTTTGTTTTTGTTTTTTTTTTTTTTTTTGTATTTTTTTGGTTTTTGATTTTGTTTTTTTGTTTTTGTTTTTTTTTTTTTTTTTTTTTGGTTTTTAGGGTTTAGATGTTCTATTTTGCGGAGATCTGTCTAAATTAAAGATTTCATTCAATTTGTATTTGTTATTTTGAATTTATTCTCTGATTTTTGCTGCTCTATATACTGAGATAGGGAAGAATAACAGAGATTCGAGCTAACAATTGATAAACAAGTGCTTAATGATGTTTGTTAAGTTACTGAACATAGTATATTGGTCGAATGACTGAGATTTGATACTTGAATATGCATATATTTGATGTATTTTGTATAATTAAGAAAATTCCTGGAGTTTTATAGGAGTTGTTTTATGTACACTAAGATTCTGGCTTTTTAATAGGGGTTTGGATGTATTTTGGATATTTGAGTAAATTTCTGCAGTTTTAATAGGAATATTTGGATTTATTGTACGTAGGTCTTGGTGATGCACACATCACGGCTCAATATGTAGGTCTTGGTGCGGTTGCTCGGGATGAACTTGGGCAGCTGCTGTGGGCTGCTGTTCGAAGAGTGGCTGCGTAATCAGAGGTGGAGGCAGCTGAAGCGGTGTGTTTTGGAATGCAAATTGCACATATGTTGGGCATCTTGAACATCTGGATTGCTAAGGTATTTCAGAAGATTGATAACAGCTTCATAGGCTATTCTCCAATTTGCCTAATTTATGATGATAGTAGGAGTATGTCAAGTATGTTTGATGTTATTATTTCGTCACATGTGAGAAGGGTAGGCAACTCGGTAGCCCATCTTGTAGCTCGGTGGGATACTCTTAATGTTTCGGAACTTGTTTGTATGAGTCCGTTTCCCCAAAGCATTATCTCTTTGGCGGAATTTGATTTATAATAATATATGCCTAACCTTTCAAGTCAAGCTTATAAAAGAGAAACACATGTAGCTAAAGCTTCATTACCTTTTAATAATAGCAATTAACAAACTGTAATTTTTCATTTATATTCTACACTTTTTATCTTCATTTTCCTCTTATTCTTACTTCTTTTACTACAATGTCTTCGAATTTCCTCAATTTTCTTGCAGAACAAACTTGTTCTTCATCATATTCTTCTGGGTTTTAGCTTTTTCTGAAGAATTTCTCACTGGAAAGGTATACTTCTGCTCTATTTTACTTTGATATCTTAGAGTTTGATTAATTTCTTCTTTTTTATTTTTTGGTGGTGTTTGTTTTCGTGCAAATTTATGCATGATTGGTTCTTTCATTTAATTGTTTTCGTTTTTTCTTACTAATTATTTCATATTCTTAGTAATTTTGTTAATTTTTTATTTCATTTGATGAATATGATGATCTTACGCATAATGGGTACTTAGATTTGTTACTTAATTACTTTGTAAGTTGGAAAAGTTACCCACAATTAAGGAATGATAAAAAGAAAAAGGCTACATTTAATCGTTTATTGTTAAATTATGGGCAATTTTAATTTTCATCATATTTTTTGTAACAGATTGATAGAATTTTCTTTACATTTTTTATAATGGCAACTTCGAGGAACAATGTTTTTCATACTATTTTGATAAAAAATCTGAATTACAATCTGAACCAATTTCAGTCATTTAAGCTCTAAAAATGACAAAACCATCAAACGCTAGATCAGCTGCCAGAATTAGGTTATATTTGCACCATTATTGTTAAATTCGATTTGAAATTTATTTATTTTATTTATTTATTTTGTGTTCTTCGTGAGTAATTGTTTCATGAAGATTGGTTGGGCTTCATTGTTTCTTCCTTTAAGGTTGTGTTCATTTCCCTTTTTTTTCGTTGTATTTCTTGTACCTTGATTATGAGTGGTGCTTTAATTTCTATGTATGCAGAAATGGAGGGTGAAAAATTATTTCCGGATTATGGGGTGGTTTTGATTCAATTTGGTAAAAAATTGGGATTATATTCCGATGCATTTTAAAGTCAGTCTTCTTTATTTATTTATTTATCTATTTGATTAGGATCTTTCTGTATCTAATTGATTATTTTCTTAGCGAAGTCTGCTAGGGGTTTTCATTACTTGGGGACTATTGATTTTGCTGCTAGATGGTCAAAGTGCAAGTGAATCATTTTCTGGTAAAGTCTGCGACTTTAAATCAGTGCATGGCAGGGGTGATTGAAGTTAGTTATTTAAATGTAGCATGCTCTAACAATACTAATCAAGTTCGTAAAATTCTAACATGTAGTTGCAATCTATATAGTGTTTTAATTTTTTTTTACCTGTAGTGGTTTGTGCTCAATAAAGTACGAGATCATAAGACTTATATGCTTTATGCCTTGAATCTTCCAAATTTGTCTTATGACAGGGAATAAAAGGAAGGATGTGGCTCCAAACCATGCTGCTTCTTCAGGGAAAGGTCCTCCTATCCTTGCTGTGGTAATCCTTCTTGACTCGCAACTGTACTTGCTATGATGTGTGCTACTTGGTTTTGCAGGAACAAATTCATCTTTGAAAACATAACATTGACCATAGTGTATACAACTATGGGATTTGTAAAATATGTTGAGGTGTATGGCTCTTATACACACAAAGTATTCGTTAGAACTGCAGCTCATGACTACCCTTCTGCATCAGGTTGGATTCCCCCCTCCCCCCCCCCCCCCTGAAGGTATTATCATGTTGAATGTCGACGCTAATTTGATCTCTGGGTCACATGTTGGGTTGGACGTGGCTGTGAAAAACGAGCTTGCAATTGGGCAGTGTTTGCTTACTTTAGTTAAGAGGTATGAAGGGCTGTGGGAAGTAGAACAAACAACACACTTTTCCTTAAACCACTTTTAATGGTTTTCTCTTATATATCAACTTTAACTTTATAAAGTTTGCTTTTGAATTAATATTTCAACAGAAATGGTTTCATGTTTTAATTTAGGGAAAATATGGAACACAGCAAACCTACTACTTTACTGAAACCCCCTAAGGTTTTAACTTTGTATAGATAAATCTGGGAGAGAGTTTTGCTGGTTAGATGTCTCTGCAATGGTCTTACTGTAAACACTCATTTTTTTCATCCTTGTTAGAATTCAAGATGTAATCTTGGCTTCTTTGTGTGCAAATGTGACGAGCTTTTCCAAGGTCTTTTTTTCCCTTCGTGTTATGGTGGTGTGAGATTGTTGTGTGGTGCTTGTGAGTTAGTTGTTGTGGTGTGATTGTTCTTGTGTTCTTCTTCTCAAGTACTATTGTTCTGTGCTTGCTGCTGCAAGGGTTGTTTGTTTTGTTGGGGGCTGCTGTGCTTCCTTTCTTAATTGAGTATTTGTGTGTGTGTTCTTGATATGTGGATAACTAATTCAATGGCTCTTACTTAGAAACTTGCTACTAAGGTATCTCTTCATTCCCATGGTTTTCTTTATTTAGTTCATTTTAAAATTGAGAATTTCTCAATTCAATTTGATAAGAAATCGGGGGCTTTTGTTTTAGTTGAGTTCGTTTAAAATTGAGGGGTTTTCTCAAATCAATTCAAATCGTTTTAAAATTGTAGTTTTCCAGTTTAAATCAATTAGCTTATTATTTTGGGGTAGTTTCGATGCAATTTGGTAAAAAAAAAAATAGCGATTTGATTTCTCTGCATTCTAAAGTTAGGGCTTTATTTATTTATTTATTTGATTAAGATTGTTAAATGTCTAATTGATTATTTTTTTAATGAAGGTTGTTAGAAAATTAGTTCTGACTAGCAGAGGAGTCAAGAACCCTCGCGTTACCATCTTGAAACTGCTGCTCTTCGGTAACTTTTCATGTAAAAAAGACGACTCCAATAATTGTTTATTAAAAGATTTAATGATTTCAGAATTGAGCTATTGTTTTAAATTATCTTCAATGATTACACCTTTATAACACACTCTTGATCCAAAATGGACAGCCATGTATTACTTTATTATATGAAGTAAATTATAAGCAGAGTGCTCAACGATCCATTTAATTTCTTCTGTAGTTTATGTAAATTGTGAACTTCAAATCCTGTATTATACTACCTGTATTATACTATTATTAGACTTTATGCTTTTGATTAGGGATCAGTAAATGTATGTTAATAGATAAAGCAGTGAGGTATGCTTGCAAAAACAAGATAACTATCTGAAGTTATATGGTGCCACTACAAGTGTGATATCAAGAATTCCTTATTTTCAACTGAAATATTTGGTTTTGATTAATTGGAGTTCTGGTTTGACTCTTTCAGGTTAATACTCTTAAGGTAACAACTGCAGTTCATTGCATCAAGCATATAGCGATGACAATTATGACTTCAAATGCAACAAATTGCTTTTCTTTATCTTGTCGTTTAGGCAAAACAAAATGTAAGTGAATTATATATATATATAATATGCAATGTAATATATATATATATATATATATATATATATATATATATATATATATATATTTATATAATTTAAAATTTGCATATTATCATTCAATATTAAATAATTCATTATTTTTTTAAAATTATAAATAATTTTAATATGATTTTTTATTAAAAAAAAGTAAGTGAATTACCCCATTAGTTAGGCTTGATACTCTAGTTCGATCAAATAATTTCAATGTGATTTCCAACAATTGTGTAATGTAATGGAATATTTCCTTTCTCATTCTCCATTTTCAACAATCTCACAAAATATTTCACACTTAGTTCTTTTCAACGTATTTAAAATATTAGAAAATTATCATAATTATCTTTTTTTTTTTTTTAAGTAATATATCGTCGGAAATTATCCAATAGATTTTAAAAGCTTTATAAACACATGCAAAATTGTCCCTCTATTTGGTGTAAAACATTCGTTTGCATCCAATGTCTTACCACGTATAGCCTCATTGTCAATAGATCTTTCCAACTCACATGTCTTGTAGTCTTGTATATGACATAATACGTACCTAAATGAATACAAATTATAAATAAATATTCAAGACAGTGCATTTTCATATATAGTCGAAATGTCAAATACAAATCATGAAGATGATTACTACATACGGAGTATCATGATTTGAAATACTTCGTACATTTTTTTTAAAATTAAATTCCTCAAAACATTCAACTTAAGTCCATTGTAGAAGCAAAGCAACAAGATTCAACAAAAACTAAGGGGAGCTCAGAAACACAGTAGCAAAAGAAAACAAGTCATTAAGAGAGCACTAAGAAGAGTGGTGGTTTGGGACTGATTTTCTAAGCAGCAGATCTGGACAAATTAATTAATACAAGGGTACCTTTTGTATTGGTAAAGCAATAGAACAGTAAATGTTATGTGAACTTTTGTATAAAGCATTTGAATTCAAAGTTGTAACCTCAAGCTAACTATATTTATTTTATAATTGTAACCGTCGCCTTGAATGTGAATAAAAATACTACAAGCTTTCATCCTAATTTCCCTTATAAAAATTCTGTATTACAAACTAATCACCGAGTCTTTAACATAAACCACAAAAACAGAATGCATAGTATATATGGCAGAGCTCATAGCATTTCCAAACGTTCAACAACTTAATGACTAAGCCATGAATAATTCAGAAAGCCGAGAGTGAACTACAAATTTCAGAATGTAGAATCAACTTCGATATATACATTGTTTGCAACTCCCTTTTCGGCACAAGTCCTCAGATTATGGCCGAGTACCCCGCAAATCTTGCAGTGATATAGTCGTCTTGCTCGTTGGCTAAATCCAGAAGTCACATCGAATTTTCCAATCGAGTGTTCAGAACAAGTCCTCATATTGTGACCACTTTTTCCACATACACTGCATCGATAGTGATGATGATGATGATTTTGAAGATTTCCCTTTAGCTTTTGTGAAGAGCCTTTATTTTCAAGTGTGACACTATCTGACTGTAGCTTAGTCTTTAGAGAGCATGTCCTGCTATTGTGACCGCGCTTCAAGCATACACTGCATCGATGATTATGCTTTTGGGCGTTTCCCTGAATTTTTTTGAGAGAGCCAATATATTCAAATGTAGCGCTATCTGACTGTAGCTTAGTCTTCAGAGAACATGTCTTGCTATTGTGACCACTCTTTCCGCATACACTACATCGATGTAGATGCTTTCGAACATATCCCTTTGATTTCATAAGAGAACCTACAGTTTCAGACTCTAGTTCAGTCTTCAGAAAGCATGTCCTGCTATTGTGACCACCTTTTCCACAAACACTGCATCGATGATGATGCTTTTTAACACATCCCTTTGAATGCTCGACAAAGCTTTTATTTTCATGAATGACATTGTCTGACTGTAGCTCGGTCTTCAGAGAACAAGTCCTGCGATTATGACCAGTTTTGCCACATGAACGGCAATGGTACTCCTTAAGAATTCTTTGTTTTGGTTTACTTGTCCTCGGTTTTTGACAAGTTCTTCTATTATGGCCCTTCTCACCGCACAACCCACATCTGAATCTCCTTTCAGTGTTTTCTCCACGTTCAGGACAGTAATAACTCCTGTGCCCTTCTTGTCCACAGTTCTTGCAGAAAAATTTAATCCCTGCAGATTAGATTTTAAGAAAGAGTGATCACTTTTTTTTCCCTATTTTGTGCTTTAAGTCACACACCAATAATTGTGTACATACAATATTACAATGGCAGGAGAGGGATTCAAACTTATGACCTAATCTTAATGTACTCAAAAACTCAATATTAAGGAAATGATTGTTTTATTGGTGTTTAGAACTATGTCTGTGTTTCACTCGGAGGAAAACAGTTAGAATAAATTTTGCTTTCTACAAAAAATACATTGTGGAAAAAGTCAGCTTTAAAACAATTTGAATAATATTTACTTTCTACAAAAAATACATATTCCTTTGCTTTGTTCCTAAAAGAGAAGGAAAGTGATTACAAGGAATATGTGACATTTTTTTTTTCTTACATGATGAAACTCTGTAATACCTCTTTGGAAAACTATTTTTAACCGTAGAATGTTGGTGTTTTTCCCCCACTCTTAAACAGACCAAGCAGAAGATAATGAGAGTAATTCACTAATTTTATCTGGAAAGGAATTTCCTTCTTGTCAAACGCAGCCTACATGATCCTTCAAGTGTGAACTCTTTGAAGAATGGAATGGGGCAGTACATACTCATTATAGGTACATTTCTAAAGCATTAAAAGCTCTCAGGCCAACCAAACATGTAGCAGTGATTGCCATGCTTCACTAAAGTTCACAAGTTTGGCAGTTTGTTATAACCATACCAACCTTTCATAGAAATGCTTCTCTTCCGGCGATTTTCAGGATCACTGAAGAAGTTTTTCAGAGTTTCAGAAGTATGCTTCCTTGCAGCAGGTGTCCCTTTAGCTTTCTGCAATCAAAACAAAATGCATATACTATAAGCTACATTGTAAAAAGGAAGTCCAGTCATTGGATTCTATTAAATCACAAAACAAAAAAACTAATTAAAAAAAATTGTTTCTCACAATTGAATACTCCATCCATAAATTTTTTACATGTTTAAAACAAAACAATGGCTCCTAATGAATTATCAACGCATCATTTGCAGCTAAAATTAGGGAAGCAATAACATTATAACATACTTCTACAAAACCAAAAAAAATTAAACAATATGTACCAACAAGGATACAACAATATGTACAATAACAGCCTTTTTCATGGTCTACTGCTACTCAGCAGAATAATCAATGTTGGAAAAAGAAGTCGACCATAGCTATTAGCTACAAACAAATGGACCAGAAATAAGTAAAGATATATCTGAAGCATAGAAGTTTTACGAATCCCACAAGCCTTATATGGCACAAGGTTATAAATAAATGGAGCACATATTAGGCTATATGTAACTTTTTCATGAAGAAATGTCGTAAACGTATGTCCATGATAAATTGATAATGCATCTCCACTAAAAAGCACGTCTTTATTCTTTTGAAGTTCATTAATTCATATCTACAGTCTAAAGATCAAGTCTCTAGATACTAAAAAGTGCCAATGAAAATCAATGGAGGATTAAAAAAACATACAAGAACATTCACAAGGGGCATTGAGGCATTCCATGTAAATGTGTAAAATTACATATCTATTACTATAGCCTCAATTTTCTTGCTTTAAATATAAGCCAGTACACTGTACACATGTGTCATGCTTCACTAATCACTATCTCATTTATACTTAAGTTCAAAAACACTCTAATCGGTATCATTGTCCGGAGCTGGGTGAATCAACATATTTGACAGTAGTCAGTTACAGACTTACAGTTCAAGACTATTTAACTTTATGCTGACTTTCTTGTACAATATCAGTATCTTAATTTGGTCAAAAAAAATAAAAATATATCAGTATCTTAATTCAGATTTTCAGCTTGAATTAAAAAGTACTACACCTATAATAAATAAAAAAGAAACCTTTATTGCAGCTACTCTTTGTGCATGAAGAGCAGGATCACGATGGATGATCTTCATACTCTTGCTGAACAGTCCTGTTTTTGCATTGAGACTCTGCATTCAGTCAACTAAAAGAACAAGATAAAGAACAACAATTTACAAGGAAATCTAAACGCTTCATGATCTACATATTTTAAAAATAAATCAAATACGAAGTATATGATATGCAATGGTTTCAAATTATACAGCAATCAGAACATTCCAAACAGGAAACTAACTTTCAAGGAGCGACTGATTTTCAGCCCAACTTCTGGAGGAGTAGATCGGTAAACTCGCTTTGATTTCTTCCTTGAGTTTAGTTTTAGCTCCAAATTATCAACTTCATCATCTTCTTTGACTTTCAGTGGAGAACTGAAAATTGATACAGCATTGACATTGAGAAACACAGACAAGAATCTCAGTCACAAGCATTGCAACGCATGAACAATGGAAGTAAGATAGCGATGTAAGTACAAGTTAAGGAAATTTATGATATTAGACCATGAATGCTCAATTTCTAGAACAAACTTTCTGCTGAGAATGGCTGTATCAAAATTAAATGCTTGAAGAATATGTAGATGAAAAGTTGCAATGAACTTACATGGAGCGTGCTTTTTCCCATGGGATTTCATCAATTGACTCTTCCCAGATGACACGCTCCCCCAAGCATTGCTGACAAGTCATAATTCCCTTCAACATAGTAAGCAACAACTAAACATTAGAACTATATAACTTAATGATAAGTTAAGCATTACATCAAGTATTAAACATGCTTTTAGTAACACTGTAAGTACCATTGGGCTTAAGCACATCATAATATGTCAACATACAGGCATACAACCATCATACCTTCCCACTACAAAGCGAACAGTCTTGTCTAGACCGCTCAATTCCACACTCTGCGCATGGAGTATATCCTCTTCCCCGGCAACTTGGGCAGGGAAGTTCTTTAATATACTGTCCATTGGGCCCAAACCATGATCTAGGTTCAAATGCATCTGATTTAACATCCCTGGAATCAATCAAATAAGTTTGGTTACCGATTCCTCATCAAATATTAAAGTGACAGCAAATCCAGAGAAGCATTATTTACAATATTGAGCCACTTTCAACCATTTCTATTACTCTATTAGACTAATAGCTCATAACTGCTGAAGTACCAAGCTTTATGCGAGGCATAATCTACATCATCTTTAGAGAGACTTGTAAAATTCGAAAATTGATCTTAGGTAAGCATCGCAAGCTCAGTGAAACAACATAGCAGACTACGAACTTAACTTAACCCCGTGCATAGGAGGACAGTTTCAAAATTGTGGGAGGGCAGCGGGTGATCATAAAGTTCAAAATTATTTCCAACCAAGTGTTATGAAGACTATGCCCCCACTAAACAAGCTAGTAATTAATGAGCCGAATTTCTTAAGTAGTTCAGATTATACTGCTGAATGGAAAATAGACTTCACAATCCAACAGAGAAACAAGGTAAACTACGGAGTGAGGTATTTCTATCTTTGTACAAAATAAAATTTCACAAAACTTGAAATACTAATAGACATTAATCATATTCGTCTCCATTTCAACACAAGACTTCGGTTGCCCATTCATCAAGCCATTCACAGGCCGAGCACAAGTTTCAACAAAGATTTGTCAGCCTATACATCTTACATTTTGCAACAATTATGCAAATTCAAACTGAATATGGATACCCACTAGCCAATACTAATTCAATATTAAAATAATATTAATCTTGTTGAGTTAGATTCTGCTATCACTACTCTATATTAGTGGTGGGTAGACAATAATTTTACCAATAACAGCGCATTTCCCATTGTTCTTTCCCAATTATGATATCTTCATATCTCAAACACAAGCAACATGACCCGAAATAAATTAATCTCTACTAACTTAGTCGATTAAAGTCTTGGAGGTCGTACCCAAACCCAATCAAACTTTGTATAAAAACATCATTGGCTATTTGGGTCATTGCCCTTTTGTCTCCCTCTAGATTACAATAATGTACTAGTATTGTATATAAAAATGCACAAACAATTTCAAATGCCAAGATAATAATCATAGACAAGTATTAGAGTATTCTAACCTTGGTGGTATATTCACATCAATTCCATATAGTTCATCTGAAGGATCATATCCCAACTGCCCAAATAAATAAATAAATTAGGAAAATATATTATGAGAGAAATTTATTATTATTATTATAAAAAGAGAGAGAAATGGGATACCTGGTTTTCGTCCCTGGAAAGAGAATTGATGGTATGAAGAGAATGAGGAAAGAGTTTGAAAAAGGGTGATTGTGATTTAGAGTGATGAAATACAAGGTTGGAGTTATGGTTCTTCCATGGCGGAACCAGAATGAGATGAAGGGTTGAGCAGATTGACAACATCTTTCATGGCAGAATTGGAGGATCAGCTGTATCACTTGAGGTTAACCCAACTTTGTGTGTCAAGTCTTTTCATTTTGAGTGGTTAGGAACTTTACACATTTTATCAGTCATACCTAAAACTATTTGAAAATTAGATAATACACCCGGGTGCACTCACCCGGGTAAACAAAAAAAAGGCGGAAAGAACATATAGTGTTTGATAAAGAACATACCTTTGATATGTTCTTTGAGTGTGATCAATGTGTTCTTTGAGTAAAATTATATGTTCTTTACATTATAACTTATGTTATTTAACATATGTTGATAAACATTTTTTTTTTTGGGTTTAATAATACAAAGTATTTCTTTGAATTTGACGTGTATGTTCTTTAAGGTCGTAGTGACGCCTAAATTCTATTTTTATTTTTAAATTACTTTTATTATCATATATTCTTTGAGTTTGATTAATGTGTTATTTAGGTATTAACTATATGTACTTTACAATATAAATTATGTTTTTTTAACATATGATATTTTGAAATTTGATATTGAAAATAATGTTAGAGTAAAATAACTAAATTATTATGGGAAGTTGAATTTTTTTTTGGAGAGATAGAAAACTATTTTTTGGGAAAATGATATCTTTGGTAAGGATTTTTTAAGAGGTGATCAACATTGGCATGACTCGCATCCCGAATCGATCCGGCCCGAAATAGGGTGGGTTTGGGCAAACCTAAAAATGCATTTTTAGTTAAAACTCGAACCGGGTTCGAAAAAAGCCCGAAAATCCGCTACTTTTCTACGGGTTTGGGCACGAGAAATTATGATATGGCCCGGCCCTACTCGATTTTTATCACCTCTAAATTTTTCCCGTTAATAATGTGTAATTTTTCAGAAAATTTTATCAAGTTTTTATCTCATTCTTTTTATTATATCTTTATGTTCTTTGGTAATGCATGTTTTTGTCAAATACAAACATGTTCTTTGTCAAATACATGTATGTTCTTTCCGCCTTTTTTTATTTATTAGGGTGTACGATGAGCACTGTACACCTGTGTGTATAAACCACGGATTAAAACTATTAGGCAAATGTTGGACTACATATAACCATTAAATTTACACTTGAAAATTGTAAAGGGTAAGATGAATATTATCAAAATAGCTATATGAACATCTATACTTAGTATTTAAAAACTCAAACCACAATCATTCATATGCCACATGTTCTCACAACTTATTCGTATGCCACATGTCCTCACAACTTACTCATATGCAAATGTTACTTCCCTTACCTTTTCATTATTAAAAAAAATTAAATTAAAAATATTACATAATGTTAAAGTCTTTGTGCATTCCGTAACTTGCACATTTAAGTAAGAAAATGAAGTGTTTAATTTCTATCATGATAGAATAAAGTTGAATTAACTATTACATAAACATATGAAGTATAATAAAAATAGTCTTATCTCTTAAACTTAAAATATAGCTTAAACTAATATGTCATTTTATATTCTACAATATTCATGTACTCCTTTGGAGTATATATACTTAACTAAATTAGATATTCTTTCTCAATTATATATACTTAACCAAAAAAAAAAGTTCTCACAACATTTACTTTTAAAGTCATGTAACAATAACTTCGGAGTTTCAACTATTGAAAAGCATACATTTATATAAAAATAACCTATATTATAACCCGTGCATTGAACGGACCAAAATGCTAGTTTACAATAATACGGAGTGATAAAGATTTGCAATCCACAGATTTAAAGAAGGTGGAGAGTGAAGGATAGATCAAGTGGTTAGAGCTCCTTCCCGGTTTCAAGAGATCTTGGGATTGATTCTCATCAAACGCCCTTGTGGCTCTCTAAACACCAAAAACAGATTTAAAGAAGGTTATATGGGTAACTTAATTAGAAATATAATGTTACTTAAGGGTCACTTAATTAGAAATAATATGTTACTTAAGGGTTAATTAGAAATATAATATTACTTAAGGGTTACTTAATTAGAAATATAGTATTACTATATAGTGTTATAGGGGTTACTTAGTTAGCACTATTGGGATTACTATATAGCGTTGTAAGGGTTACTGTTGAAACACCTCGTGAAGATAGTGGTAGTCATGTCAACATTGCAGTAACTAATTCCTCTACTATTTTCATGAGGTGTTTAGTATAGGGGTTACCATTTCTTTTTTGGCTGCGCCGCAGCGGTCACACAATGTGATCAACCACACAAAATTATAATTTAGGAAAAAAGGAAAAAAAAAAAACTCTAAAGTAATACTCTTTGAAGTATTAGTTAAAGTCCAATTTTTGTAAAAGCCCTATCTAGTTTGTGAGCTATTTATCCCGATTCGAAATTTTCACTAGCTAACACTATAAAGTTTAGCTCAAAAAACTTGTGACTAAGCTAAATTATTACGAGTATTTTTCGTACTATTATCAAGATTATATTAGACTATAGAGTGAGGGATATACATTAAATATATCTTATTCAAAAACTCCTAACAAAAGATATACATCAAAATATACAAAACATATCTTATTCAAAAACTCCTAACAAAAAAGTTTTAATTCCAGTACTACGAATTTTTTTAAGCCACAAATATTATGTACTTAAAATCAGGTCGGATTTTAAAACAATTTTTTTTTTTTGACAAGACGGATTTTAAAACATTAACTAAGCTTGATTTACATTAAAAAATTGCACCAGTTGAGGATTCAATTCCCATTGAATCACTAGAAACACTATAAGGTGAGAATTCCTTAATCCACGCTCTCAAAATATTTGACCCATGTACAGTCAAAGGTCAATTTTTTTTTTAGGAAAATAGTCAAATGTCATTTTCTTTAGCTTTAGTTAAAAAAAAAAAAAGTTGAGTTTTATGGTAATTTTAAATTTTTGGTTTAAAAGAAAAAAAAGAAAAAAAAAACCCTTAAAATTTTAAGCTGAATAAAGCTCGTGAGTCGTGACTCAAGAAAAGAGCCGTGACTCGTGGACAAAAGAAAATAAAATTAATCAAAACGACATCGTGGAGCACCTACAATCCAGTCGTAATTAATATAACCATGAATTTATCACTTACGAAAAAGTTTAATTAATTCAACTCCACCTCCTCTTCTTTCTTTCTTTCTTACGACGACGGACGAATTAGGGTTCCTCGTCGATCTCGAAATTCCTCCATTACAATGGCGCTTCAAGCTGGAATGGGCGTTTCTCGACTCCTCCTCTTTATCGGAGCTGGTACTTCTCCTTCTCTTTTTCTCTCCTCCATCTCCAATTTTCTTTTTTATTTTTATTTTAATACTGATCACACTTTTTTTTTTTTTTTTGGCAGGTTATACTGGAACTGTTCTTGTCAAAAACGGCAAATTAGCTGACATAATTGGCGAACTTCAGGTATTTTTGATTTTATTTTTTTTTGAAATTTTTGTGCTCAATTTTGAGTTATTAATTGCTGAAATTGTATTTATTGTGATTTAATTAACTTCAGGCTTTGGTGAAGAATTGGGAGAATTCAGGTGACTCTGCAAATTCTGATTCTGAGCAAATGGCTGCACAGGTTTGTGGTTGTTCAACTGCTATACAATTATGCTTTTTATAGTCGTCGTTTGTTTTAGCACAATTTTTTTTGAGAGATTTATAGCTTTAAATATTCTGTAGTTACAAATTGGAATCGGAGAGCTGTTGCGAATCGAAAAAGGTTGATTTTTTCTTTGGCAAGGTCTCAGTGGATTAATCTGAGAGCCTGAGAGATTTTGTATGATGCATTGAGTTTAATTGTTTGGCACGAAATTTGAATTTGAAGAACCATAATTGAGTTGTCTATCGTTCACTATTTTATTTCTCGGATGAAGATATATGTGTAGTTAGGGAGAATTTAGCAGAAGTACAGGACTACTCTGCGTTTATTATAATCTAAGTATTTCGTTTTCCTTTCTGTTTTCTGCTGTGCACTTTCTTTTTCATGAGACAAATCATGACTCCGATTGAATTAGCCTCACGTGACCTTAGAAAAATGTTTCGGGAGTTTTAGGCAAATGCTGTGTGGATAATTAGATGCAGTTAGGTGATAACAGATCAGAGGCACCTAATTGGTGCACCATTGGCAACAACATAGGGGCACTGGCCACAATTTAGGAGCATCACCTCACAACAGTTAATCGATGCACCTGACGTGTTCTTTCAAGTTGCAACTGTTGAATGTTGATTTCATATATTCTCGTTCTCCTCTGTTTTTCGCATGTTTGTTCGTTTGTGTGGAGTGGATATAAAAGTTTATGTAGGAAGAATCAAGGATATCCCATAGAATAGGGGGTTTATTGTAGCCTTATAGGCATTAGTCTAGGAGGGGGACCAAGGTTATCCCATAGAATTGGGAGCTTACTGTGCTGTGTCCAATAATGATGTGATTTGAATTGAATCTGTTAAATCAGATACAAAATTATGAAAAAAAGGAGGAATAAAATGGTTTTTACATGATTAAATACGCATATTTTAAGCATAAAAAATGTCAAAGTTCATAGTTTATGTAGCTGGGTTGTCATTAAGCTTAGAGAAAATAATTGGTTGCATTTGGGTTCATTTATATGAGTACGCAGTTACACAGGATGACAATCCTAGTCAATTTTGTACAATGTTGACTGATCAATGATCTAAGTAAATAATAGGATTGTCCGTTCCTCATGGCCTTACCTGCTATGTTGAGATTCTACTTCCAGTCTAGATCATTTAGCTAATATAAGATCATAGGATCGTGCTATTCAGATTAGATTTGATCAGTGTTTGTTAAAACATTTGTGGTTAAAGGTTTAATGATATAAGCTAAGGGACTCTAAAAACACCCTTTGTTTCTTTTTTATGTTTTTGGTTTAACTTTTCATGTTTGTTGATGCATGTCTTCGACCATTAATATCTCTAGTTTTGTATTAGTAACATTTATAAAAACCCATCAAAATAAATCAAACAAGCCCCATATGTTCATGTGTTATTTATTTTATTTTTTTATTTTTGTGGATGGAAGAGGAAGATTTTTTGGATGACTATAATCAATTTTAGTTCATGTAGCTGACCCCACTTATGAGATTAAGGTTTTGATTGATTGAGTGAGTGATTGACGCATTGAAAATAGTTAAGAAGATTACCTCAACCTATAAATTCCAGCCGAAAAATAAAAAATGCAAATGGAGGGAGTAGCATTTATATGTTTTTACCTCAGACGATCATGTGAAGGACTGAAGGTAGCAAGTAAAGTATTAAGTAATGTCGATTTTCTTGGGGAAACTGGCTTTGTTATTTATTGATTTTTATTTTGAGGTTATTAGGCATGAAAAGGAGTAAAACCTGAAAAAGGAGAGGCTGAAATAGATCAGGTCATCAGGACCAGTTTGGATGTAGTGGGAAAATTACGGTTACTGGTTACTTTTTTAGGGTTTCTTTTTTCTATTGCCTCCTTGGATTTCATGTGGAGTGGGGGAGCAAAACTAAAGATATCAATTGCTATGTGATTTACTAGAGACATTCTATAGTCCCATGGGCCAAGGCAGGTTAAAGAATATCATTGTCTTTGTTAGAGAGCTGAAGTGGGTCATTTTTCTTTTTAATTGTATGATAATATATTAATTAGACATTGCTTTCGTTTAAGGTAATGTGCTAAAATGGACAGTTAATTGGATGATGTTGTTTGTTTAATCTAAAGTAAGGCTCCTTTATTTTCAAGAAGAAATTGCTGTAAATATAAATTAGTAATTTTAATTTGCTGAACTATGTCTGTATGAATTTAATCATTTAGGGAATCCATACTCTATGTAAGGTAGATTACCAAGTTGTGTATAATTTTATCCTCCTCAAAACTTCCATTTTCTTTATTGCAAACCTTGAAACTAACAAGGGCCGAGAGAACTCTTTTTGCCATGCATTTTTCCATAGAATGTTTCAAAGGGTTTGTTTTTGTTTAAAATCTCACATAGAATCCTTTATAGGTACGCCGGTTGGCACAAGAGATTCGGAATTTAACCTCATCGCGGCAAATTACTGTGGTGAATGGGTCTGGTGGAATTGGTATGTCAGTTTAAACTAACAGTTGCTCTTACAGTGCTCTTTGTTTTGTATATGTTTGTGTCGGTGCCTCTAGGTTTGCTTTTTGCTAATGCTATGCTTTAAGCAGATGGTTCTTCTCTAATTCTTCCGGCTGCAACCTTGGGTGCTTTGGGCTATGGGTATATGTGGTGGAAGGTAGGCATATTTTTCTTTTAGCCAGCTTGTCCCCCTTAATATTTACCTTCTCATGAGGAAACTGATCAATGACAAAATTGCTTTTTTTCATGGTATATTCTCAGGGTCTTTCTTTCTCTGATCTTATGTACGTGACCAAGCGTAATATGGCAACGGCAGTCGCAAATTTGACAGCAAATCTGGATAATATCACTGACAGACTCGCTGTAAGTTGCAAAATTTCCTATGCTTAAAATGTGGACATGGATCAAATGACTTTCTTCAATACAATCTTTGATGTTGTGTGTGGTCTTTTGTGAGTTTTGTCTTTATCCACCAGTATTATGTTGCAAATCATGTAGTTTTCATTAATTGTTATGTCTACTGCTCTTTGTCTGCTAAATTTATTATCTCTCTCCCCCCCCCCCCTCTTCCCTGTTAACGGGCGTGTTGAATTTCTCTATTCTGCAGAAAGTAAAGTTACACTTGACTCAAAGGATTGAGAACCTGGATGGGAAAGTTGATGAGCAGAGGGAGATCTCAAAACATATTAATGATCAGGTGGACTTTGGATATTTACCCCTTTACTTTTAGTCTTTTACTGGTCTACTTGTTCTACTTTGCATATCATAATCTCCAATCTTTTGTACTTGGCTGACAAATGCCTACTCTGCCAGCTGTCCTTCACTTCTTTGTGCAAATTAGTTTTGAGTGATGAAAGTCTTTACCATTTCACTAGTGTTTGGTGTTAGTTAATTCATTGCCCTAAGTGGTTTCGTCTTCTGAATCTTTTTGGAAATTTATTTATGATTATCGTGTGTATTGTGTATATCTTCTGTTCCATGACATGTCACCATTTTTTTCTTAAAATAAAAGCTATATCTGTTATTTGAACATATTGTCGAGCTATTTCTGGAATTTTCGACATACAGAATAGACCTTATTTGTGTGCATATTCTGTGGCTGTGTGGCACTTATTTTTATTTGTACTTTAAGCTTCTCAAAGCTTGATGTAAAATCTGTTAAAATGGCTGAACCATGTGAAACAACCTTCTATTGAGTCCAACTGGCTGGTCAGGTTTTTATATCAGTATAGATGGTGAAATTTTTGTACCCAAGAATTCCATCATTGAGATAATATCCACTAAGTTGTAGTTCTGTCTGAAAAGAAGTCAACATATACCTTTTCAGTCTCCAAAATATCTTATGGTTTAAATATATAATCGGTATTTTTTTAAAGCAAGTTTAACAAGATTCTACATGATAATGTTTTGTCACATGATGTAGTTTGACCTTCAAAACTATTTATTTTGGCAGTGGAGTGTTGGACTATTATTTTTGGGATCCTGAAGGCACTTGATTATTTATAAAATTTTAAAGATGAATAAAGTTGTCCTTTTGATTTTGGTCTATGATATATCAAATAGATATGGCTGTCAGTAATGGAACTATAGGCTTCATTGAGAATTCTTGATAAGTGATTATTTAAGTGTTGGAATGGTGATATGTGAATAATTTACTAAGCTTTTATGCCTCTGCATCAGGTCTGTAAGACTCGTGGTGATATTGACAAAGTTACCAGGCAGCTATATTCCTTGCAGGAGACAGTTTCCATTTTGGTGAGTTGATTGTATGAGTAATCCTATATCCCAATTTTGTTAACATTGTTGTTCATGCTATCTAGCATGTGGAGTTGAATAATGATTTTGACTTAGAGTCCCTCATTAACTTGAATTAGTCTTTTGATTTATTTCTTATTCTCCCTTGCTGTCCAGCAGCCTTAAAGCCATATTTTGACCATTGATGTCTGTAAATTATATATTTGTAATATATTATGCTACGAAAGCAAATTTCTGCAATAAAAATAAAAATAAATAATAGACATATAGTTCTGTTACTGGAGTTAGTGTTTTTTTTAAAGATATTGACGACCAAACATTGCCAAATTTGATCTTCTAAGTCAAAACAAGCCCTATTAGCTGGACTGCTGGAGGGACTTGTATATATGAAATTCCCAAAATCTATATGATGCCGGGAAAAAATAAAATAATAAAGCAAGTTAGGGCCTTCCAATGGTGAATTGAGAATGTTTTTATAGGCTTAGTATTATTGGTTGAAAGTATGTACATTGTCCCATAATTAGTTCATAATTTAAGAGATGAGATCCGGAGAATAATATGATAAACTCAAGCCGCTTTCATATTTCTAGAAACAATGCTTTTTTCTAGAAAACAAGTATCCTTGACCAATAAACCAAAAATTGGAGTCTTGCTCGATCATTTTGTCACATAAAACCAATGACTAGTCCTACAAATAACTTGGACCCTAAGTTATTCCAATATACCCTGATTGATCAATTTGGTGAGTGGGCTAGCATGTACGTAGTGTAATATAAGGTGCACCAGCATGCCAGATTGTTTTCTGTATGGCATAGCTTATGCCAATTACATGTGTGTAAGATGCTAAATATTCATTTGTAACCTGAGCTATTGGTCATTGTCATGCTCCATTTATGTTTAGTGTGTTACAATGTGTGAAGTTGCCATGAATATCTCCTTTCTGCAGATATATGCATTCCACGCAATAATTATTTTGGTTGTGCTCCAAATGTAACTGTATCATCTTATCTTGGTTTTTGGCCTCTTGGGACTTCTGCTTCCTTGTGCTTGCATCTCTTTTATATTATTAAAAGAATTGTTAGTTTGCAGATGCTGCAATTAACCTACAGTATTTGTCATCTGAAGCGATGATTTCTGTTAGACCTGATGCTTCTTATATCAATTATTGCTATTCGAATTTTAGTTTGGAAATTGATTTTTCTTCAGCAATAATTTCTGTGTGTTCTTATAAAAAGTTTGTTGATGCATGAAATCCTAATCTGCTTTTACTTCTTCATCTATAAAATTAATAAGTCCATGTTCTTTATTTTCATTATCTTTTGGCAGGATGACAAGATGGGTTTATTCGAAGAGAAACAGGTATGGTGTTTCTTTTGACCTTTTTTGTTCGCTTCAAAAAAATTATTTAAGGCTTTCATCATTAAATTTGGGTTTTGACGACTTCCCAGAAGTCTCGAACCAGTGAGCAATCTAGTAAACTTCAACATGGTTTACATAGCATGTACTGGAATTTGGATGGTTTTAGCTATGCATATTCATTCCAAGTAATATAATTTGTGTTTCTACAGACACTTACACTTATGGGTGTGGATTACTTGGTCAACTTTGTTGATGGGAAGACTTCAAAGGCGCCAGGGCTTTCTCAAAACTTTCAGGTATGTTTCTAGAGTTCATACAACCTACTTTTTGCCAGCTTGATAAATAAGTCTACATGGCAATTACCATTTGTATATCTGCTTGTTGTAACTTGTTGCTGAAGCTGCTTCTGTTATATTTGTGGGCTAGATATAAATTTTAGAAATGGAATCAAATATCTGTTGCGCTGCTAGACATTGTTATACTGAGTAGCCTTTTATTGCATACGTGTGAGGCAAACTGGCAAAGGGATAAGGAGCTTTTGAGTTGGGCAGGTTTAGTAGTTGAATGAGCAATAAAATGAGATATTGTGTGATGCCATGTTTGTGTGACTTCTATCTGACAAGATTATTTCTTCATGAGAAGCTATATGTTGAATGGACTAGTTTTATACAAAGTGTTATATATAGACAGTAAATCTTAGTATTTGTGCAAGACTGATTGGTTAATTACTAAAAGTCATCTCAAGAAATGTATCATCCTATATGTTCATAGTTGCATTCAGTTGTGCTTTAAACTGTGTTATGCCAACTAACTTCTTATGAGATTGTCTCGTGTAAGAATTGCCAGTCAATGTGGTATATGAGTCATTGACATGCTACTTGACTGATGTCTCTCAGGATCAACTTAAACTTGGCAAAATGCGTGCTCAGCTCCCATCTTCAAATGCTCTTGGCCTCCAGGTTCAATCCTAACTTCCCAAAGATCTCAATGAAGATGATTTCTAAAATTGTGTCTCTATTATCCAACTTTTGTTTGCGTGGCAGCTTGGAAGCCATTTTCTTGCAATATATACTGTTGACATATATAAATTGATGTTTAGCATCTAATCTTAGCTCCTTGGAAAAGTTATATTGTTGTTTTGTGCACTTTTAGTAATTAATTCTCTGTTATTATTCAATAATTTGTTTTTCTTAAGAGCTAGGCAAAATTTCAATGAAGAGCATTGCTGACATATTAATGATGTCATTTTGTTTTTCATCTTCAGGGCCTCAAAGCACTCGCAGACTCAGCAAATGAGATCAGATCCATCAAAGGTGTTGAATGACCATCCTTATACGAACTTGACAAGGTTTGGACATCTACTTGTATTGCTCCAACACTTCTTGGCTCTTTATTTTTGTTGAAGATTTATAACTGAGAAGCACACACACACACACACACACAAACAAAAAACCTTTAGAAAGGCATACCAACATACATATCATTATAAATATTGATGAAACATTTTTCATGAAATTTATTACCGTACAAATTATACACAATTGATATCTAATTGTCATTTGGTGAACACCATATTTTAACAGTATCATATCATGTCATTTAATATAATCTAAAATCAAAAAGATATTCATTAGAAAATCAACCTATAGATTAAAATTTCTAATAAACTCTCGGGTAGTCAGGTGTCAATAATAAATGCAGTATTAAATTTTACTGTTTTGGTATAGTTTGTTACCAACTGATTTTTCATAGTTGTGGGTAGGCTGGTAGCACATACATTGTCATGGGCTGTCTCCCACACTAAATGTGCACCCTTGGGTTGCAACATAGATCTGCCAGTGATTCTAAATGTGTATAAACTGATTGATATAAAGTGAAAGTATATTAAAAAATGATTAATGGAAAATGTGAGAATTACTGGAAGCAATATTTTGATCTCAAATTTTGATGCTTATTGTTACTACTTTTCCTTTCTCAGTGGGTTTTAATCTCTTCAGGTCTGCTTCAGTCAAGGCCTTATAAGTTCTGGAAATTTCAGGCTGCTGTTGGAGAAGGTCATATATGGCAATAAATTTCACAAACCGTATATATTAGTGAGCAGAAAGGTTGTAGGAAGAAAAACCATTGCGATGTTTTTACTTGCTTAAAAAAAATTATGGGCTACCTAAAGCTTTTTTGCATAACCTCATATGTTCAAAGTTTGATGTACATCTTGAGCTCAAGATCTAACAATGAACCTTTTATTATTCAAATACTAAAATATCCACCGAAATATTTTTGCATCAGATTGCAGAATGTGAAGTATACCACTGCGAAATGAAACATTGTGTATTTTTGTTTTGTACTATTTTCTAGTTTTTATTTATCACTGGATCTAACGTATGTAGCTAGAGTATGATTTTAGCGATAGGTGTTCAATACTTCATTATATATTTGTAAATTCCCTCTCCTACAGGATTTAACCTTTGCAATTGTTGCCATTGTGAAGAAATTCAAGTATGAAAATGGAGGAGATTTTTGGTTGAGCGATAGTGGTTTGGTGTTTGCTGTGACTGCAAGATATGCGAATAAGTCATGCTCGTGCTGAGACAAAATTTATGGACATTTGATCATTTAAGAATAAGTCATGCTCGCGTTGAGACAAAATTTATGGACATTTGATCATTTAAGTCATGCTCGCGTTGAGACAACATTTATGGACATTTGATCATTTAAGAATAAGTCATGCTCGCGTTGAGACAACATTTGTGGACGTTTGATGTTCATTAAGAATCGGAATGTGGATATAGATTGTCATTTGTTGATTACACAATTTGTCCGATTTGGCAATCCTCTGTTTCTACAAATGTAGACTGAAACAATAACAAAAGCAAAACATTTCTTCTACTGTAACCTTGTACAACTATGTTAGCAAGCTCGTTTAGGTACACATTTCAATGGTCCTGCATATTTTGTGGCACGCCCGGCAAATCTCCCATGCATTGAACCTATTATCTTACTTTCAATAGGTTGTAACTGCAGTGGTGAGCGTGACTGCAAGAAGGTAGCCCCGTTTATCAGCACGTCTCTATTTGAAATCCATGTCCCGCTATCCCATGGTGATGATGGTATCTGTCTGTGAGTAACCTATGCTCAAAATGAAACAATAGTTAGCTAAAAATTTGATTAAGTACCCTGTAATCCTCATTGCTTTTACAAGAGAGGTTTATTGATTGATTATCTGAACATGTTATTCTTAAAATGTTGGCAAAATGTCAATTAAAAGATGAGTTAGATGCATGACATGATGTTATACCTCCTTAGCTCTTGGGTTGATTGGGGCGATGAAACGATTGCCCTCACTGATGATGGTTGGGTTCTTGCCACCACCAATGGCGTACATTAGCCAGTGAGTGTAGTCGTTATTGACTATATGGAAGAATCCCCATCTACACCTTGGCATCCTTTGCACTAATCCTTTCCCAAAGTGAGTATATGCAATTGTTACTTGCATATTCCTATCTTCATAATGGGTGTCTGATGCACCAAACAAAAATACCTGCATATATACATGACCTACTTAGTTAATTGACTGCATCATGTAGATTTGACAGCATTAGTAGTTGCATACCACGAATATACTACACTAGTGTCACCTTGTCATGATCAGTCATATGGCAGTTGGAGATGGTAATCGCGGTTGAGCCTTTGATGATATCAATGAGTCCATCCGAGGCCTTGGAGAATGAACAATGATCAATCCATATATTATGTGATGCAAAGATAGATATGGCATCCCCATCACTTTGAGTCCTGAAACCGAAATGGTTAGCTGAATCTCTGATTAGTCCTCCAGAACCCGGGACTATGTCCCTAAGCTTGATCCCATGGATGATGATGTTCTCCACATATTGCAATGTGATCCCAGCCCCACCCTCAATGACTACGTGTGAACCCCGGCCATCAATGGTCTTATTGCTATTCACTATAAGCTCTTGGTTAAGCCTAATTCTTATCACAGGCTTAGCAAATACAATCCATAATGGCTCATCTTGGATGACTGCATGTCTTAAGGTTCCGGGTTTAGGGTTCACCATATCATCGTCTGAGGGGTCTTTCACCAAGTACTTGCGCCCTGCTTTGCCCCCGGTTGTCCCTCTTCCGAACCCCAACACACACTTGGCTAGCTTTCGCCTTTTCTTCTCCCAATCAGCTTGGCATCTCCAACATGCATCGATTGGATTCGTATACATGCATCCTTTTTTGTATCTCTTTGCTAATTCTCTCCTTGTGTTGTTTCTTCCTACCTCATCTTCTAACCACCTGCTTTGTAAACTACACATAATGAAGGAGAATGAAATTAGATGAAATAGAAAACATGCATTGTGTAAAAATATAACTTGCCCTTATTCTATTTTATTCCTTATTTTCACATTTGATATAAACATTTTATCTAAGGGTCAATTCATTTTATCAAATGACACATTAGGGGTTCTTGCCTTGTCCATGTATGTGATGTATTAGGAGTATTATGAATAAATACAAATTAACTTTAATGCTTAAAGGTATATAACATAAATTCCTCTCTTCTATCTTTTTTAATGATGTAAATTTGTCGATATGGAGATTTTTTAATTATAAAGACGAACTGGTTGGTTCATTGTAATAATTAATCTTAGATGGATGTAGTAAAATACGTGCATGCTTGATGCACGATGCTTCACCTTATGAGTTTTTATTGAGACGTAGCTAGATATAACATTTCGAGATGAGAAAAAACAATATAATTAACTCACATTCGAGAACGAAGGTTAAGGTGGTTTGTGACATTATAGGGTTGAGGATGGTAGGCTCCCTCAAGTTTCCTCTTAGCTTCTCGTTCACGTAGTTTCCAATAATTATGTGACTCCAAAGTGGTATTTTGTGCCAAAGCCAAGACGAAATAAGATAAAGAACACATTAGGAGAAACATTAAATCTTGTTTCTCCATGTTTATTTTGTGGTTGAATTAACCCAAATACTTTGATAAATAAATTAGTAATGTGGTTAATTCAATTCATGATGTAATTAGAGGAAGATTTATATCAACACCCCATTTGAGCAGTTGGAAATCTCTCTGTCTCCTACCCTGAATTAGAAGTAAGCCAAGGTGACAACTTGTATTGTATAAATAATATGGGGTGTAAAAATAATTATATCTTTTTTTAGTTGGCCTCATCAAGGAACCAATAGTTATTTAGGCTTTCCTCGAAAAATAAAATTAAATTAAATTGTGTAGGCTTCTTTTCTGCGTTTTTTTTTTTTTTTTATTTTCTATTTTTTTATTTAGATATGGTGTCTTTCCCATAACTTATCGGTAGGAATGGATCATAGATGTCAATTATATTAGTGAGTTAGTTTAAAGTCACGAGATGGTATTAAAGATATGAAGTCAAGTAATATTTGCCCTTTGTGAGCCTCTTCGCACATTAAAAAATAAATAAATAAATAAAATTGTGGAAAACAATGTAGTATAAAATATTTACGATGATATAGCCTTTTGCTTACTCCCTCCAATCCTTTTAATTTGCAGTTTGCACCATTTGTTTTTTCGTAGTCTTACAAAAATGTCTGACTATCATTCGCACCATAGCAACACCATTGTCTCTAATTAAACCTCAAATAAAAAAACACCATCTTATATTGAGTTCTTTCTATTGTTGTTTCAAGATACCATAAACAAAGTATGTGGCTAGAAATGATGTTTTAGCCCTCTGAATGCTGGTTATGGACTTATAATGCTAGCAAATACTTATCAAATTAATAGTACTTCAAAACTATGGTATCATTTCACATGTTAATGATTGCTGCAGTGGTTTGTGAAGTTTTGACTGTTTGAGAGTTAAAGATACTCTAAGGACTTAACTATGGCGAAAATTTGTTATGACTGTAACTTTGAAAGTTATCGCCTTAGCAGTAAGTACATCAAGTAACAGTCAATAATTATTGTTAATTTTATTAACTTTTTTCTGTCAATTTCATTATAAAATCAGAAGAAATCGGAGGGAAAAAAAAAAAAAAGAATCAAAATTGCACTAACTGATTGTGTAAGCCTATATCCAACTGCTAGCATATCTTTTCTTCACTGGCTACATAACCAATGAAATAGTTCGGAAGATGCCTAGAGTACACAGGGATTCTTTGTTGATCATATTCAGGAATTTTCCAGCATGCTTTCATTCCCTTTGTTTTTCTGGTAGGAAACTGCAAAATGTCTGGCAGCTCTGAAGCTGGCACGATACTCAGTTCCATCTTCCCTGGCAATCCTCGGTAGTTGTTAGTGATACTGTCCCTGAAGTCCTTCTCAAGTGAAGTTACATTGATGTCCATACATCTTGTCAAGCCCCAGTAGAAAACCACACTTGGTTCTGAGTCTACATTTCCTATGTCAGCATATTCTGTGGGGTTGGGGTCACAAGAAACACGGATCTCCTCCAACTGCAAGGAAAACCGAACATGAGAAAACCGTCAGACAATCATGAGTGTTGATGTGTGCAACTGTGTGCACCGGAGTGAGTGAAATGGGAAATCATCAGAAATAACAAACAGGGGCTGGATAAAAAGCAGACAATGTGCACGCTCATACACTCAAGCACTTGTACACACACACAAGTGATAATTGCTGGAGTCTAAAGGCACTTTCTATTATCTTTACTTTCTTTCTTAAGCATTCTTCAGACAAACACACACACACACACACACACACACACACACACACACACAAAAGAGCACATCAGGGCCATCTTTATGGAAGCCTCGACCAAAATTTCATAAGCCCATGACTAAAAAACCAGAGAGCTCAATCAAACAAGCACTGCCCACAGCTCAAAACACCAATAACCCAAAAGATATCAAACAAATACTATCACTTACTTTCAAGATGAGGGAGGGAAAACGTGACTTCACCCATCCGACCCAATCTCCCAAACCATCTTTTGCACAAGCTAAAAGGTAGATTTTGAGAAAACGGGGATACAGCTTTCTGTAAGCATTAATGTAAGGTTCAAATAAACTATCTCTGTCAAAATCAGGCTGCAGGATCTCCTGCAATATAAAAGATAGAAAATAATAAGTATATATGATTATATGTTAGTGAAATATGTAAAATACAAAAACGACAAAGGACAGACATAATTGTATCTTTTACTCCAATATATAAAAATTTTAAATATGATTTATTTATTTTATTTTTTTTTTTTTTAAAAATTTGCAAACCTGGGTGATTCTATGCCCTCGAAGAAATTCTGCTCTGATTCGGTTGAATGTGCTCCGTGTGACGTTGGATTGGCAGCATCGATATGGGCTACAAGGCAGTCTAATAGGTATCCAATTTCTTTTCTCAGTCACATCTGGCAAAACTGGCATCATTCCATCTTGCAGAGCAACAGGAGTAGGCCAGGGCCAACTGGCAAATGTGTTAAAGAAGTTCATAACAAGGGCACTTAAGCAAGCATCTGGACTCGTTTGACAAATAAAAGCTGATAATATAGCTAAATGTATCCCTCCGAGGTATCCAAACAGCTGAAAATGAAGAATGAGTAGTCAAATATCCTGCATATACGGTAATACGGAGAGGGAAAAAACCTTTGAGACTAACTTAGAACGTTGAAGGTGCATACGAGATGTTAAATAGTGAAATCTCTTATTTCCAAAATTTTCTTTCGTGTCTTTTTTTGTTATAAAATTTAAGAACAAAATAGAGAGTTACAATGTCCATTTCCAGCCAGAGTGGTACTTTTTTAAAATCCAATTAGAGTGGTACTTAGTTATTATCAGGACTGACAAAAGGCCATCAAAAGTGTCATCAAAATAGGCAACCATGTACACAAATTAAATGAAGCCAGACAGCCAATACATAACCGGTGCAAACCAAATAATGTGTGTGTGTAGAAGCATGACTTATGCATATTCATATTAATAGCATGTGAGCAAAGTGAGCCTAAAGTGGCAACCCTTCAAACCAGATAAAATAATGCAACGGAGGAGCATGTTCAGCAAGTCACAGATGCAATACATTTTGTCATATTAATGAAATCCTCACCTCATTCAGACTTTAAAGGACATGCTATATTGCTATTTAAAATGCTAAATTCCAAATACCATTCTTCGTAGGATTTGGCGTGGTAATTTATTTATCACTCTTTTCTTCAAAGACTTTTACAGGAATACTTTTTTTTTTTTTCCTTAGATTCATTTATTATTTTGGATAGTTTATAACAACCTCCTTTCCCTTTTTTTCTTGATAATCAGTAAGTTAAGAAAGTAGCACTCCACAAGCTTCTTCTTCTAGTCGTACCAATTACAGGTACAAACACCAGTTTTATGCTTTTAAAGATTAATAAATAGTCATGAAGCCCATAAATTTGAAGGCAAAACATCCATCTCTTAGTGAGAAAGATTGAGCAAAGAAGACTTACGTTACCATAAATACCACGTTGTTTGGCCCAAAACTTGATGCACCGCAGCAATGACTGGAAATTCTGCAGCATATGAACCATTAATATGAGAAACCTATAATATAATGAATACTCAAAAAATGAAGTAACTAGTCATTATACAATATAGAGAAGATACACATAATGTTATGAAAATATGGCAACTCACATCTTTCATCAAATTGACTAACTATTATGTCTAGGAGAAACTCCATAAGCAACAGTGCCAAGCTCCTATCCCCTGACCAAAACCAACAAATCCTAATTCCATCAAATTCATTCTTCTCCCACTTGAACAAAGCACATATACATATTTTCAAAAATTTATAATGGATCTTACTTCAGTATCAAAATCCTGGAAGCCATCCACGAAGAATAAGAATGAACGAACTAATAGTTATAAAAGACAATAAACTAATAAAGAATTGGATGAAAATGCAACTAGACAGGTCTTGGTATTTCCACATTGATTATTAAGAGCTCATGTAGTAATTTTTCGCAAAAACTCATACTCAACAATTTGTTTGACCAAATCAAATCACATACACTAGGCTAGCATAAGAAGCATGTTCAAAAAGGATTGACACAATTTTCGATATTTAAAAAAAAACTGAAATTAAAATATACTACCTCCAGGTTTGGAACAAGTTGAAGGATGCATTGGTTAACACGTACACCAGATAAGCTTTTCCAACTAGTTTCATCAATATTGACCAGGAACACTGGATTCAGCAAGTCCACATTCTGCAATTACAATATTTGGCAAGTCAAGAAAATAATTTTGCAAAGTTGTGTCCGTTGTACCACTTAAACTAAAACATTGTACAGACTCAATTATGAAAAAAATATATGTATTTCTCATTTATCCCTATATACTACATATATAACTTAACAAAGTATTTTTCCATCTTCAAGCAGAAAGCCCTTACTTCAGGAACTGACGTAACTTGAAGTTTAGCATACGGCATATCAACAGCGACACCTTTAAATTTAAATCGCATTAACGGCACCTTAGCATCCTTAACGCAATTGATTTCAGACACTTCAGGTTTGCCTTTGAGAATATTGTATAAAACAATACAGAAATCCTCCTGAAATGCGAAATACTGATATGAGACAACCTAACACAAAAGCCACTCATGATTCACCAATTCCATTTATAGATGAAAAAGGAAACTTACTTCCATAGTAGCAAACCCAGGACCAACACATAGAACATCGATATCTGATTCTGAATTATGAACCTGGGTAAATGATAAAAGTAGAATTACAACTGAACATTTTGGATTATATTTTTCAGTAATCACCAGCCATACAAATAGCTCTAAAAAAAAGTGTTCACGTATGTCTAATGCACCATTAACCTAATTTACTTAATCTCTTGAAAGTTGAACCAAAATATATTCAGAGCATTGGTTCTGAGATATATGAAGAGCTTTTTTAGGAGCAGACTCAATCTTCGAATGTAGTAGCCCTAGTAGGATTACATTAATTTGCAGTAATTTAATACCTCAGATAATCATGCTGGATATTTGACACAACCAAACGGATATAAATATTCAACACTATATTTTGGACCAACTAAATTCAAAATTCATAAATGGCCAAGTCCTCGGCTTAAACCTGTGTCCAACACTGCAACCTGAGTCCAGGTTGATAACAGAACAGACAGAGAAAAAGCAATTTAAACATTCCACGCCCCCGGCCCCCTCCCCCCCCCCCCCCAAAGAAAGAAGCATAGACTAGTGGATCTAACAACACAACCTGATATAAATGCGAATTCTTTGCTTGCTTCAACCAAGTATTCGTACCATTTATTTAAAAAAATCCAGTTCACTTTAGCTAGTAAGGTACCAAATCTTTATACGAAGTATAAGTTTCTAAATATGGTGGATCACTCAAATAATAAATTCACTAGCATGTAGATTTCAAGGTCCTTAAAAAAAACCCAAGGCCCTATCAACTGATGTAGCTGTCACTGTTTCTAGGCTATTAGAAGTCAGCTCTCATATTTTAGTGTTTTATAAAACAAAAAATTGGATTGAAATAAAATGAAAATGAAATAAATTATTTACAGCTCAAAAAGCTATTTCTTTAGCTTTTCCAGAACATAAATTCTACTTTAAAATCAATCAATCAATCAAAGGCTATATCACATAAGTGGGGTCGGCTACATGAACCAAAAGTGATTATTCCATAATAGTCATCCACAAAAATCTTCCTCCCCCATCCCTTACGATCAAATACCTCATTCTCATGCAAATCTATTTACTTCATATCCTTCCTAACTCCTTCCAATCAAGTTATTTTTGGTCTTCCTCTACCTCACTCAAGCTCTCTGTGATCCCACTCTTTGTACCAGTACACCTTGGGGTCTTCTTCTTACATGCCTGAGCCAACGCAAGCGATTTTCCCTTAGTTTGTCTGCAATGCTTGCAACACCCACTTTCTTGCGAATAACTTCTATTCTGATTCTACCTCTTAGAACTCTAACCGCACATCTATCTTAGCAAACGCATTTCCATAACCTCCATCTTTTTAATGTGCTCCTAAGAAGCTCAAACATTTTGTACCATAAAGAAACACTGGTCTAATTGCTAATTCTACCTTTAAATCCTACTCCAAAACACTACTTCATCAAAAACTGAATTTTGCAGTGATGAGAGTTTTGGATCGGTCAAAATCAATAAGAGGCTTTTACCAAACAGGACCTCAAAATAGATGAGAAGAGTCTAAGCATCATAAAATGCAAACTGAGCACAAAGTATAAAGAATGAAAATACTAACAAGCACAATAACCTCAAAAACATAATTGTGAAAAATGATTTCATGGGTGTAAGATCTAAGATAAAATATGAAACCATGCACATAGTACAAGGGAGAAACAGCATTCTTACCCCAAGACCAAAAGATCCATAAGTTAATATAGTAGCTGATGCATCTCTAATTAAATTTTCAGGAAGTTTCCTCTGCCAAGCAACTTTTGTGATCCAATGCTGAACAATCTACAGGACAGAATTGATAACCATGAGCTAGTGAGTCCACGGACACAAGCACAGATAGAACTAGATGCATAGAACACAAAGAAAAAGCAGTCGCAGACTCGCAGTACATATGACTATCAAATTTAATAAACCATCAGCTGTATGAGGAGTTGGAGATATGAGTATACAGTACCACTGTTCATAGAAGCATGGCTATAAATGAACCATACCCTTGAACAGCATACCAAAAAATATTCAAGAAGCCCACTGCTATATTGCTAACATAAAATTTACTCCAAGTGGGGCTAGAGCTCTTCAGTTCAAATTTCTGCTTTGGTGAAGTGGTAAAAGATCCAAGGAAAATAGAGTCAGTGGTCTCCGCCCATTAGCCATATGTTGCGCAACCATGTATAATTTAGATTTTAAATAGGTGTGTCTAACACTTGGGCAATTGGGCTTGGGCACTTACCGAGCAACATAAGGCACATACGGATATGACGGAAGACACACTTTAAAAACAATATTCTGACTAGGATCATGAGCAAAAATCTAATACCATTATAGCTTTAATAGCATGACCTTTAATGACTTCTCCACAAATTAGCTAATGGCTTTGAGTATCATATATATGTGCCAATCATATAAATTAGAAAGCATACAAAGTTAATATTAATCTCTACCTCCAAGAAAGGGTAAAAAAAATGATTTATATCTTGCTCAAAAAACCTATATTACTACTTCCTACAACTTTAAAAAGACTTGATTGCTTCGATTTTACAAAGCTTGAAGCAATGTCATTTTTTGCTGCAAAGTAATTCCACATCTAATACCTTGGTGACATTTTTATACAATATTAGCATAAGAAAACTCAAATTACCCAACCACTGTCAACATTCAAAAACATAAATTCCTGATGAAGAAATCTAGGCCACTTCTATTACCCTTATGCCTCGACTCGAATAAGGATTCAAGTATTCAACCAAAGACATAATGTAACAATAGGTGGATAAAAGCACAAAGATTTCTGAATATGGGTAATCCTATAAGCAAATTCCCACTATTACAATGAATTTTGGCATGAAATTTGAGGTAATTGCATATCAAAATCTCAATTTTCATACCCAAAATCGTGAATTTCATAATATGAACAATGCTATAAGCAAAATCCCACTAATTAAATCAAATAAAAATCCAAGAAACGGAAAAAGATATGGGACCTTCTTGAGGCTGTGAATGATGGATTCTCTTTTGAGTATTTCTTCAGAAGACGGCACCAAACCACCATCTTTCATGAACTAACCCAACAAAGTAATTAACGAAAAAATTAGAACTTTTAATCAAAACCCAAAATAAATAAACAATCCCAAAAGAATTGAATAATTGGAGAAGTACCTGAAGCAAGGAGAGAGAACGGTGATCATCCATTGAAAGTATTAACTATCAAGTGTACACTGATTATTATGGTATGGTTAGTTAATGACTTCAACCTTGTACTCTGTTTCGTATTATGTTTTTTTTTTTTTTTTTTTTTTTAACAAAACTGTTTCGTATTACGGAATACGAACTATGTTGTATGAAGCTCTTTGTAACACCGAATTTTATATTATGCTTTCCCAGTTTTCCTGTATCCGATTCTCGAAACAAAAATTACCCAACGGAACAAATACTCTTTTCGTTCCTAAAATTTATTACAAATACTCTTTTCGTTCCTAAAATTTATTTATTTTTTGGCCTACAAACAAGACCGTACGGACTACGGAGTAGTAAGATTTGATTGATTGCGCTTAGGTTAAATCTTAAGTAAAATTGCATAAAAGCTACTTGTATAACCCCAATAAATCCGTACGATGCACGGTTTGTTAGTATTTTTAAAAAAAAAAAATTATTTTTCATATTTAGGTTATTAAAATTGTTATTATATTAGTTTTAAAATATTAGATAAAATTTCTAATCTCAAAAGATAATATTTTGTATTTAATTAATTTAAACTTTAAAATTTCATTCGCCAATTTTGCTTACGTGGAATTTGAATTATTTAATTGTAAAAGAAATTAATAATCTCTTATTTAATTGGCTACCACTTAAATTTATAATCTTACATGGCGCGCTAAGAAAATTAAATCCTACGCGCCTCTCTAAAAACTCGAGGAAAAATTCCCCTTTAAATATACAGTTTTGTGCCCCGTGTGATGCTCGGTTTGTTTATTGAAGATAAATTTTTAATCTATATGTCAAATTTTTAAATATATTATTGATACAAAATTAGTTAGGAATTGTTGTGCTTTTATGACGATTTGCTATATTTTATCGAAAATTTTATAACAAAATTATATTCAATTTGTATCTCTGAAATATTGGTATTTCATTGAAAATAAATTCTAAATTAACAATTTTATCCTAAAATTAAACGAAGTATCTAAATAGAATTTTAAGTTAACTTTTTAATCTTATGAAGTCTATTTAAATGTATCCAACGTGTCGCGACACTTGGCGAAAAGTTAAAACGCCAAGTGTCGATGTCTCGTAACCTGGCTAAAAGTTTAGATTTATAAATTAGCGTCAAGACTAATATAAAACCGGTCCACATTAATATTATTGTGGACCGAGCTTCCATCACATGACTATCACAGATTCTTTTTTGGGAAGCTTCCTTTTAATTTCCTCTCTCCTCCTGATATATCATTTTCTCTCTCTTCTTTCTTCTTTTTCTCTCTCCTCCTTTGATGTTCTTCTCTGTACACTTCAACAATGGTGAAGGCGAGAGAAGGAAGTTCATTAAAATCAACAATGGTGAAGGCGATACTGTTTCGGGGTTTTCTGATGTCCTGCGGGAGAGTTACAATTCCGAGACTGGAACCGGGCGCCTGTACCTGCAAAACAAACGGATGCTCCGGATGATTGGAGATCCGCCTCCGATGGTCAAGTTAGTACTTGATTAAGGAGTAATTAATGCGGAAATTAAAGTGATTGGGTCTCTCTAGGTGAGAGAGTTTTATGTGTGTAATCTGCGTTCCCCCTCTTAATGAGGATTAAGGGAGGTATTTATAACCTTGGGAAACGTGCCAATCTAGGTTTAGGTTAACCTTGGGCTGATTGGGCTTCCCTCGGACGTTGGGCCTTGGTGACCAGTTATCCCAGGTGTCATGGGAAGGACACGTGTCGTGTCGTAATTGGTCCATAGTGGACGGATCATTGCTTGACACGTGGCAGGCTCCTATTGGCCCATGTGACGGACACATGGCGGAACCTGATTGGTCCACTTGTCAGATGGTGATTGGTGGGAAAAATCCCCTAATCATTTGCCCCTCACAGGTGGCACGTGACTGGTCGCGTGTTACCTGTGACAGGTATCACCCTGTAACAGGCGACGACCTGCTACAGGTGTCACTCGGCGAGAGGCCGAGAGATTCTCCCGCCAAAATTTTGATTTCTGGAAGTGACCCTTCGCCTTCTCACTTCGCCTATATAAAGGAGTGTTGACTTCGGTCATTTTCACACTTGAAAACTTTGTGAGAGAACATTCGGACCCCTGAACTTGCTCTGACATTTTGGACCCTTTCTGCCTATCGCCTGCTCTGACAAGCCGACTGCAAAGGATTTTCAGAACTTCATCAATCGTCACTCGTTCAGGTAACCGTCGGTTCTCTTACTCTTAATTTTCTCTTTACTTTATTCTTTTTTTTGAAATGGCACCACGGAAGCACACGACACGACCTAGGTTAGTGATCAGCCGGTCACCGGGGACGGCTGAATCTAGGACTAGGAGTGCCGCCTGCCCTTTTCTGGACCCATCTTTGCCCTTTATACAAAGTCCGACTGTATATGTGTCTATGCAGAGCATGATGGCCAGAACAAAAAAGACTGTCAGGATCTCAAACTCAGACGGCTCCTCCCACAGGGTGCCGATTAGTGAAACATCTGACCAGGCGCCAGATGTGGAAGTGAACAAAGCGGCTTGAAAGCCGGCAGTTCTGAGGGAGGAGTCAAAGTGACCCCTTCCCATTTTACAGTTGACAATTCTACATTCTCTTCTGCTCCTTTTAAAGGAGAGGAGGCGGGCCCCTCCGGGAGAGGGGAAGAGTCGTCCTTTTCGGACTCGTCAGAGGGCGATTCCGAGTCTAGCTCTTCTGGCCATGCTTCTCTGGACACAGAAGAGAAAAACAGTCGCCTACAAGAGGCGAGGCTTTCTCACGCAGTTGAGAAGGGGGACGATTGGGCGGAGCCATCCGCCTCTCACCGAGAGCAAAATACCCCCTACTACTGCACGGTACCTCAGGGCCGGATCACAGCCATGCAAGAGAAAGTGGAGAGCTTTATCGCAAACAACACAATTGGCCCCAGCTTTTTAGTGTTCGTGCCGGATCCAGAAGATACAGTCATCTGGCCGGCTGGTACCAGTTATGATGGCGCCTGCTTTGGCTGCTACGAGGCGGCCATCAAGGCTGGGCTGCGCTTCCCACTACATCCGGTTGTTCAGCGGATCTTGGATGGGTATGAGTTGGGGTTATGGCAGTTAGCCCCGAACTCCTGGGTCAACGTACTCGGCTATGTGGCCGGGTGCGAACTGCACGGGGTTGAGCCGAACTTCGAGGCTTTCGCCCACATGAACTACCTCAGCCGGACCCCTAAGGCAGGCGGTAGCGGCTGGTATCAATTGACGAGCCACAGGGGCTACCTCATGACGAGAGGTAAAGCAAACAAATGGAAGGACTGGCGGAGCACCTTCCTTATTATTGAGAGTTCAGACACAGAGCTGAACAAGCGCTTCAACAGGTGGAACAGGAATCCGCCCCTTCTTGCAGGCGGCCGCAGCATGCCGCCTGTTCCCCCCAAGGCTAAAAAAGAGATCCTAGATAAAGGACTCTTCAAAGTAGAGTCGAAGGTGAACTCTACTTCAGGGGTACGAGAGCAAGTACCCCTGCACTGCGTCCCGAGCTTCAAATGGCTCTACGACGAGTAATTTTTGGCCGCCTGTGGCCTCAGCAGTCGGTGCTCAAGAGGTAGCCGGCCTGTCGAATACTCTGTTGTTCTATGCATTTCGTGTTATGACTTTTATTAACTTTGCTATTTGTTTTTGCAGCGGACGCCATGAGCAAAATTACCGCCTCCAAGACTGCGGCGGCCATGTTGCGGGCCTCCATCATGCAACAGTCTTCAACCGACTCCCCCAACAAGGGGGCACCCCTGGTGGGCTTCGAACCTTTCACCCTCTTTTTGGAGTTGTGTTTATGCATATACTGACTCTTTTCTTCTTTTTTAGACGGGCGCTCTAAGAGCTTCTTCTTCCCAACAGCCGGACCCCAAGGCACGGAGGACGACTGTTGCGAGCTCTCCTGGTTCTGCCAGGAAACATGTGGCGGCTGAGAAGCAGCCGGCCACTTCTTCTAAAACTCCAGCTGGGCACCTAGAAGTATGAAATTATCCTTGTAAATTTTAGACTTGCTCCCTTATTTACTAGGTCTAATCCGTTTGTTTATGCTTGATGCAGCCGGCCCTCAAGAGCCTGACTTGGTCGAGGTGGCCAAGTCTATGATCAAGGTCGTTCCTCCAGCTGAAAGGGAGGCGGTCAGGGGTGTCGGCACCCTTGACCTAGACGGGATTGCAGGGGTCCTTGCTGAGGTATACTTAGCATATTTTTGAGTATTTGAATTCCAGGACGCCTGTTTTCTTTTTTGTTTGGAAACTGACGCCTGTTCCCCTTTTTACTTAGGCCCTGCTCCGAGTGAACGGCCTTCGCAAGCCGCTTGACCGGAAGAACAAAGAGGTAAAGGCTGCAAAAGCTATGGCCGCCTCTGACTGTGATAAGGCAATGTTTCAAATTGCCCAAAATGAAGTTCTGACCATTGATATTCTTTATTATCAGGCGCAGGCTACCGCCGCTATCCGGGCTCAGTTAGAGGCGGCCCATAAGAGGAATAGCGAGCTGGAGGCGACCATCAACAACCTCAAAGCCGATTTGAGACCTCTTCGCCAAAAGATGTCCTCATACGAAACCTTGGAGAAATCCTTGGCGAGCGTAAAGGTACGCCTGGTGACCCAGGAGAAGAGTCTTACTCAGGAGCTCTCGGAAAAGGCCGAGCAAGAAAAGAAAGAGCTGGTCCGGGAGATGATGGAAGACTCTGCTCAAATCCAGCGCATGACTTGGGGCCGCCTCTTCCCCAATGCCGACTTTGCCTCATGGGAAAAAACGTACCGCCAGTGTTCTGATAGATATAATCAAGAGATCCTGGCGGCTGCTGAGGAAGAGGTTGTTGAGGAGGAGGAGCAGCCGGTAGTGGCGCTTGTGCCGCTTGGGGGTAATGCATCAAAGAAGGATACAGCTGAAGCCGAGTCCAGCAAGAAGAGTGCTGACCAGGCGGCAGCTGCTAATATTGAAGATTTGCCCCCTTCTTAAGCTTTATGTCTTCTTTCCACGGCCTGCGTGCCGTTTGTTTGTATTTACCCGGCCAGGGGTCCGGGGCTCTGAATATTTTGCCGGTCTTTAATGACCGGCTTCTTTAATGAATTTTTTTTTTGTTTTGCTTCAAATTTGTTTAAGTATTGAATATTCTGATATCCAATTGTACACTATACCGACTGTTTTACATGGCCGATAGTTGCAGACAGGTACGGATAGTTAGTCACGCCGCCTATGCCCCTGGACGACTGGTTGTCTGTTTCCAGGCTAGACGATTAGTCGGCCATTTATC